GATAACCATCAAGACGCCTGCCATTTGATATAAATAAACTAAAATATCAATTAGTAGAGGTAGAAATATAATTTAGACTACACCATATCACTGAGCTACCCAACTATCAATTTTAGCTAATATCAAATCGCATACACATTTAGAGAGTTAACGCATGGGCTTACAGTTCGCCAACAATATACTTAGATGTGTGAGAATAGCTACAATGCGGTCAGACATCAAAAAAATTTCCAATGAGGTTAAGCAATAGGAATATTCTGAAGTTCAAAAGGAGACAGACCATTTAAAAAGGAACTTTCAAAGTCAGAAAAATGACAAAGGTTTAACCAGTATTGAGGGGGCCGATACCATTTCTATCGTTATTAATTCGTATAGGTAGGAATTACTTTCAATCTCCCTCAAAAATTTAGTTGATAATTGCTGCCCACACTTCCTGATCGTATCTAAGAATTAAGTACTCTCATTGTAACACCACTACTTAACCTATCACATAATCGATTACACAGCACCGATCAGAACGAAAGAAGGGGAGACGAGGACTCGATTTCGATGAGGACAGATTGTAGCCCCCTTGGGTGGATATGACTCAGCCAATATTAGCGAATAATCATGAACTACAAATCATAGAGATCAAATGCGGGAAATTTCAATCGAGGGATGTTTAGCAATTCAGGTGTTGTCATAAACTCAGCACCGAAATAGAAAAAAATAAGAGCCAAACATACTTTTTTATATCGACAGTTAGAGTTCCACTCAGAGGATCATTAACCACTCCCTCGTGTTGAATTCCATGTTCGGGCAATTGCTCATTCAACTCATTAACAACTACATCGTCTTCGATAGATGCCAGCAGGCGAGAAATATCAGGCAACTGGATTTGCTCCGGTTGTGCCATCTCCTCCTTCATTTCAACAGAATCTGGTGGAGAATCTGCGGGTTTTAGGGAAGTAGACTCTTCAATCGATGGAAAACGTTCGAGATGAAGTCGACGGCGTTTAGATGCAACCACTTCGTCTCCCGATGTGATTGCCAGGTGGTCCAACAGTCGACGAATTCGATTTACACGTTTAGCGGAGGCTGTGCATTGTATACGCGTTATATGCCTACGCAAGTCATTGAGCTAGAAGTTAGAATAGGTTTAATCTGATTGATCAAAATGATTGTGAACTGATACCATTCTTTACATGATTTGAGATAGTGATAAGCACATAATTCGATTGGAACGTAATTGGGCATAATAGACGCCGAATTACAAGAGGGACAGTTTGTGTCTTTAGCAATTACACACTCCAAAAACCAGCTCTTATTCGTTTGGCAGAAGTAAGTGAACATTCAGGATTGGCAAAGCTTGCTATTGTCATCCTTTTAATGACAAATGACTAAACTTGAGAAAGCCACCTTTTTAGGTTATTAAGGGAAATTTGACAATAAACAGAACATTCATGTTGTTTTTTTCTCATGTGGACTAATAGCCTAAAGCAGCTGGAATACCATTTAAGAAACCATAATAGGTGTTAAATGTCAATTGACATCAATTCGGAGCAGATTTCATACCTAGGCGTGCATGCTTCCCACCGATTGACAAATGACTCATAAGTCCTTTTAAGGAAAGTGTTTTCCAAAAAAATCTTGGACAGACAATATCACGGAATATTGCCACCCCCTCGACCTTTAGAAGTCTTGGAAAGTCCAGCAAATAAGACACCACCACTGTTCACGTATCCGTACGGATACTGAGCAATTAAACCACTGTGGAAGGATATTTAACACAGCCGTAACAGGCAGACTCGTATTGACCAAACTAACAGAATGAAGCAACTCACTTTATTTTCAAACTGCAACGAAGAGAAGGAAGGCAATTTTCCTGCTAAAATCTCCGCCGATTCTCCAATCAGTGGGAAGAAATGTGAGATCTGCAACGCCACACAAAATAACTGAGAGTCCTTATCTGGAACCACATCGTCTGAGACGTGAAAGAGTGATCGACTCTCTGGAGCAACTCTCAAATCAGTCACTGCAGTCGATAAAGGACTACACTTAAGCAAGTAGTACCGATAGAGCACAGAGAGGACTCCTTCAACAGCAGGAGAAACTTCACAAAGAAGGTAGTATTCATCATTAGGAAAGAGCTTGATATACGACAGAAGGGAGCGTTCCTGTTTGACTCTCTCCAATAACTGCAAGTAACCCGTGTGCCTTGGCGGAGAACGACCCATTTTCTGCATTGGGATGGAAATAGGAAGGCAGTCTTTAACAATTCGCCCCCTACTAATCCACTTTATCCTCCATTGGCCGAGCAAACAACGCAAATGGGAAAAAATTTCTACTAGACGGGACTGCCAGCGTCTGTCATCCACCGCCAAGTTTCTCATACCCCGATTGCCAGCACGGCATTCGATAGAAGAACTACGATCAAGAGTAACTCTTCGAGTTGTAGGTCTATTGAAGGCGGCTTCAAGGTCTTTAAGAAGGGGGATGCATTTCTGTTGGTCTGACGCAGGAAATGACGCTCGAATCAGACCTTGAGTTGAATCAACACGGAGATGAAGGTATTCATGAGGTAGGCACGGCCAAAGAACCGGGATACAGAGAGATAAGGGCACATCACCCAAGTTGATGGGACCAGGACAAAGAGGAATGATATCCATATTAATCTCATTGAGCATGCGTTCGGCACGAACCACAATGGTTCGAGTAAGAAGGTTCTCAATCGATAGACAACTGGCTTGAATGTAGTTTCCGACTCTGAATGCGTCTTCAGCATTGAGTTCTGGATAATGGGATACACAGAGCGGACGCTGGGAGTCGATCGGATCAGTGTGAATCATAATTGAATAAATTGACGGTCGCATTTTGCCATCGGGGCCCATAGCAGCTTCGTAGTTACAAGTAGACAATCCTCGCCAATAGATAACTTTTAAAAACTGTCCTGGACGATACTCCTCAATGTTGAAAGGGTCTGTCGGGCGCCTAGAACGCAAATGTTGAGCCTGTTCGAACAAAACATCCAGTTGGAGCGACAATGCGAACGCATCTAGGGTAAAGTGCTCAACATTATCCAGGGACTGGGGGAGAGATGGAACATTTTAAACGAGCCTATACTTACGAAGCATATCATAAAGATGGACTAGAGGCGATCTCTTATCGAAACGACGATCCAAAATCCGACTTTGAACGCGATTGAGTAAGAATTGAATCTGATGTGGATGAACCAGTGAGCCCTCAACTAGAAGCATATAAAAATTGTTAGGAGCCTTTTACGTTACTTAGGAGAATTTAAATGAGACTCTAGGCTTACCACTACGTTTTGGATCCGAAACAAGAAACTCAATATCAAGGATTCGCCAGGGAAAATTTTGTGCCTCAGAGAGCATTGTCAGGGTCACTTTGAACTCATGAGGAACCGTGAAAATCACTCTGCCTTTATCTGTTTGTAAAAATTAAATTATATTTCTGAAGGCAGACGCCTACCAATGAGAATGTTAGTAAAAGGTCTGGGCATCTGAGAGATACTAAGGCGATACTTAATGATCCGATTCAGGTCTATTAAGCTTGACCGAATGTCTTCTTCAGTTATAGGTAAAGCGGGAATGAATTGACGCTAAATTTCGGTTTTTTATGAAGATGACTTACTTCAATGGCTTTTGGCAAACGAGTGTAGGTCTTATTGACAAATATATCAATAGCCAAAACCATTGCGAAAGGAGGCAACCTAGGAAAAATGAACCGAAAAATGATTTTACCGAGCTGAGATTAAGTGATTATGGTGTAGAATAGTTAATACGTTCGCAGTATCTAAAAGAAGCATGCTTTGCTCCTCGAGAAAGTTGGAAATTTTCTACAAGCCAGAAATATAATGAATAACAAATTTGCTCGAACCTCGCATTTGTCAACTTTTGATGATGTGTTTGCCCATTTCGTAAGAGCTTCGATACGAATGAAAAGGTTTCTTGTTCGGCTGAAAAATCTGGCGAGCTCAATCTTCTTTTCCAAATCAGTTTTGCTTGGAAGACTAAGAAATAGAAATTGAAAGACTCCACTTACAGATCAACCAAACGCATAAGATCAGTGTATGTCTTCTGACATGCAAGATCGATGACAAGAGCTAATGGAATCATTCTAGACCGACTGCTCATCACTGCACTAGCTGACATTTTGATGGTTTAGGTTTATGTAACGACAATAAAATCAAAAACAAGGGAGAAATCCGTCAAATTTGCCGCTTAATTGAAAGCCAATCAGTAACTAGCATATTCGTATAAATAACTTGGCAATTTATAATTTATTAAGAACTTATATCTTAAAATCAGTCATTTATAATTATAACAAGAATTAATCAATAATATATTATTATTAATTTATATAATTCTATTACATTTAAAATGATTTCTACTTTGGTATAATCGCGATGAAAACCGAGCTTAATTAAACTATGCTTATCCATTCTGGAACGTGCGGGTGTGATGTTAATCATCTAAAGAAGTAATGAATCTTCAGCCAATTGATAGTGATTACATCAATAGCATATCAAAAGTAATATTTAGTGTCTGGGTTCCGTGCAAGCTCCTCTTATATTGGGGAGAAGTACCACAGAATTCAAAGATTTAAAAACCACATTCCTTGATATATGTTCGATTCCCTCTATATCACAAAGGTAGCTTAATAACTTTCGATAGCCATTCTATACTATGACATTTTGCTATAGAGAACACTTAAGATAAGTTGATGCTTATTCACTTCGAAACCCTGTACATGACTAATTCCAGTATCGAATTAATGCTCATTCATCCTATGTCTATTTTGTGATGAATGCTTTAAATGAAATTTTTCTGCGATTTGTACAATGAAGAAGATTGACTTATTCGTGCACTGCTTTTAGATTTGCTATGGTCGTTTAGAGTTACATGGGTAGATTAAATAATTTTTAAAAGTTTTGTAAACTTATTCAGTGGAGTGCCAAATTAGTATTTGGGAAGCTTGCTAAGCCGAATTATTGTGTGATGCATGTGTTTCAGAATGTACAATTTGTTAAACCCCCTAATGACGCTTGCGTGTGGATGAAAATCATAAGAAAATTACCTTCATTTCATACTATTAAACATAAGTTTTACCTTATTACACATGCAATATTTGAATCTTTCATAGCTTCTACATAGTCATAAAAGAAGCATATTCCAGAAATAATAGCTTAAGATTATTGACGGGTTGGCTTCAGTTCGCTGCGATTGAAGAAAAATATCTCTTAAAGTTTGGTTCGGTCCAGAACAGCTTTCTGAGTAAATTTTGATTGCAACAATAAGATTATGGAATCTTAAAGCACCTTCCTCACCAGATCTGTTGAACAATTATGTGAATACACGAGACTCATTTATGCCAGTTCCTTAAAACTGATCTACTTCAGTTCAGTTTCACTTCGCATGCGATTTTGCCATAATAAAATATTTCTGATTCCAAAAATACAAATGAATCATATTATTTTACTTTAACCCAACTGATGTGATAAAATTTCACCAATGTGTAGAATAATTCAGGTAGTTTTGAATTCTTAATATATTCGACTACTTGATAAATATCACAAAGCAAGCCATTTGAAATAATAATAACATTTGACTGCTTTATTTCATTCATCTTCGAGGAGTATTGCGGCCAAATTTATGCAAAATGAAGTATCATGCATTTTTATTCCACATAAAATTTTATTTATGAAATGAATATTTTATCAAATGAGCACTTATGGCAACCAGTTTTAGGCTTAAACTGTAAGTAAATTTGGTGCTTATATACCAATTTCAAAAATAAAAGCGCATTTTAAAATAATCACTAATTGGTCTAAACGTCGTTAATTTGCTAAATAACGAAACCGTTTCTATTACGCTAGCTATAATTAAACAATTCAAAATATCAATTTTTCAAGCAAGAACAATTTTTAACCCGTTACTGATTCTTCATTGTGGTTAACTAATTGTCAGCCAATTACTTGCAAATACTGTTGAGATATTGGTTTTTGAAAAGATTCGAAATCACTTAAGGCCCCTGAATAATTGATGGAAATTAATATGTATTTGGTTAAACTCACAACGCAGCACTATTATAGAGCATACAAGTAAAGATTATTTTTTCATGCAAAATAAAGAACTCGCGACTATATTGTGCAGTAGCATGAAATTGAGCTCAAAAGGTGCTCAGAATTATTATTATTATTATTATTATTTCAAATGGCAGGCTTTTATTTGACTTCAGCTTTGCCCCTTGTGGGGGGGGGGGTACATATATGGCAGTAAATTAATAGCAGTTCATTAGTTGTCTTCTGGCTTCCCAGTATCACTGGGTTTCCGTCGTTGTCTTTAGGGTTGGACACCGAATCAAATGGCTCATCTCCATTTCCTTCTGTAGGTCACATAGGGGGCATGTTGGTTGAATGTGTACTCCTAAACTGTGAAGGTGCTTTGCCAAGCAATCGTGCCCGGTACGTAGTCTAAACTCAGCAACGGCTTCAATTCTTGGCCAGTCGGCTATGTCGGAGAGAGCCACTGTCCACTGTTTCTCTTTCGTTCGAGCTTTAAGTTTGTTACACCTTGAGGTCTTGAATTGTCTCCTGATTAAGGTCTTCATTGTGTGGAAAGACATTGGCCAGCCCATGCATTACAAAATTGTTGTCCCCTTCTTGGCAAGTACATCAGAAAGCTCATTGCCTTTAATGCCACAGTGACCAGGAATCCATTGTAGGACCACTGTTTTGCTTTTCTCTCTCAGCATTTGATAGAATTTTCTACATTCCTTTATCTCATCCAGCAGCTTGGTAGGACCACTGTTTTGTTTTTCTCTCTCAGCAGCTCATAAAGTTGTCTACATTCCTTTATCTCAGCTGTTTTGGGTTGCTAAAGGACCACTGTTTTGTTTTTCTCTCTAACAGCTGATAGAGGTTTCTACATTCGTTTATCTCAGCTGTTTTTGATAGAATTTTCTACATTCCTTTATCTCAGCTGATTTTGGTGGCTCTCTGTTTCCAATTGAGTTTATAGCTGACTGTGAGTCCGGGAGTATTACTGCTTTGGTATCCAGGCAACATAATTTGGCTTGTGCTATCTTAATGGCCTCTATTTCTCCTTCAAAAGCGGATCTATTGTGCTCCGCTGTTGCATTGAAAGAGAAGAGTTCGAAGTAAACACCTGCTCCAACGTTTGGTTTTCTATGTATGAACCATCAGTGAAGAATTGGAGTCATTGGTCTGCAGGATATTTGACATTGATTGTCTCAAGGGCCAGTGAACGCTTTTGTTCTAGAGGTGTATTTCCTTTCCTGAAATGATCAAGAAGTTGGGTGCAACATTACACATCAGTGTCTGCTAATGGGTTTTGTGGTAGAGGGAGATTTTTTGGTGTCAGCAATTTGTAATGCTTTCTTCAGTTCTATGGCTTTCTGTATTAGACCAGATTGCGTTTTCAGATGTCTTGGTCTATTCTCATAGGTGCTGAAGAACTTGTCCATGGGAATGCGCAGTAGCTTCTCATACAGGATCAAGGCCTTCTCTTTGATATGGGAATATATTTTTTTCAAATGGCAGGCGTTTTGATAGCTATCATAAGCCATTTAGCTGACTTCAGGCTTCACAGAGGGAAGGTTCATCAAAGTGGAAGAAAGTCGAGAGAAGGAGGGTTACAGAAGAGCGATTCACAGATGTAAAAAAGGCAGACAGATACAAAGGTAGAGAAAAAGGTAAGATGTGTACTGTGAAAGGGGTCGAATATGGCAAGCAGTCGGGCCACGGTAGTTTGAAGTCAGAGGTCAACTGCCGGTTCATAGACTTTTTTGCCGTATGAGTATACGTTGCCCAGGGTGCACCACGTGGAGGTAAGTCTATTGCACACCCCAAGATAAGGGAATATATTGTGGTGCTTCCTGTAACTAGGAGCATTGCATCAATGGGTGTTGATTTTATCCCTCCAGTAATTAGACGTAATGCTTGATTGTGTGCCTTCTCGAGTGGTTTGAGAGTCACCTCTGTGGCTGTAATGAGTGGCTCACAGCAATACAACATTATTAGCTGAATAAACATTTTGTAAGCGGTGTTGAGAGTTGAGCGCGCACAGCCCCATACGCTACCAGCAAGACGCTTCAGTACATTCAGTCTATTGGAGACTCGTTCTGCTATTTTAGCAATGTGACTTTTCCACGTTAGCTTTGTGTCAAATGTCACTCCGAGATATGTGAACTCATTGGTTTTCTCTAGGGTAGTATCCTTATACCTTAAAAGCGGGTTTATGCTGTGATGGGCCAAAGAAAATGTTTGGAACGCAGATTTTGCGGTATTGATTACCATTCCATTGTTGTCGCACCAGTTTGCTAGTAGTTTAAGTGCATAATTTAGGGCACTTTCCATCCTCTTCTGAGTATTTTTCTTGGAGGTAGACTACCATGGAACAAGATCATCTGCATATAGTAAAACACTTTTTATCAATTTCATAAATGAGATGAAAAATAAATTAAGTAATAATGAATATGGGAGGATGAGTGAAGAGGTATAAATATAAAGATTGGTAAAAGTTTATTCCAATACATGTGACTAATCGACCTGAAAATAAAAAAAAATAAATATAAAATGGTAATATTTACTTCAGTAGTATAGTTGAGTTGTACATGTTCCTAAGCGTTAACGAAAGATCAGATGTACTGTTTGCATGGGCAGTTAAGACGTTTCCCTTTAAAAGCACTTTAAATTCTGACTAGGATTTTTCCCTGTTTTACCCTTGCTGATAAGGGGTGCGCAATAGACTTACTTCCACGAGGTGCACCCTGGGCAACGTATACTTATACGGCAAAAAAGTCTATTGGTCGGCAGTTGACTTCTGACTTCAAACTACTATGGCCCGACTATTTGTCATATTCGCCCCCTTACACAGTACTCAACTTACCTTTTTATGCCTTTGTGTTTGTCCGTCTGTCTCTTTTACAACTGTGAATCACTCTTCTGTCCCCCTTCTCGACTTTTTGTCTCTTTGATGTTCCTCCTCCCCTCTGTGAAGCCTGAAGTCAACTAAAGGGCTAATGATAACTCTCAAAACGCCTTCCATTTGATATAAATAAATAAATAAATAAACCCTTGCTGATAACGTGCATTGATAACATTAAAGTGATTGAAGGTACTTTTCAGAAATCTCAACAAACATCTTTACCCAGCAAGGGTAATTGAAGATTCATGTAGATTCATGAAGATTCCTCATTGAATACTATTGGCAGACCGTGTCTAATTGATTCAGGTAAAATTAAATAATATATTTACTATTTGAATAAGTACAATCGAATCCATTGTGATAAATATGGGGTGTGCGATAGACTTACCTCCACGTGGTGCACCCTGGGAAACGTATACTCATACGGCAAAAAGGTCTTTTAACTGGCAGTTGACTTCTGACCTCAAACTGCCATCACCCCACTGTATGTCATATTCAACCACTCCCACGGTACTCACTTTATCATTTTCTCTACCTTTGTGTCTGTCTGTCTCCTATGCGTCTGTGAATCCCTCTTCCGTTCCCCACCCCTCGACTTTCTACTACTTTGATGTTCCTCCCCCCCCCTGTGAAGCCCGAAGTCAGCTAAATGGCTAATGGTAGCTATCAAAACGCCTGCAATTTGAAATAAATAAATTGTGATAAATAAACTTTTGCTAGACAAAACGATAATTACCATTGCTAGTTTAAATCTAAAAGAACATCACTTGCACCTGGATCATGCATTACTTTGATGGATCAGTACCATGTTGTCCGTCTACGAAAATACAATCTACGGCTCAAATATCCCAAGTGTCGGATACTTGCCGCTGTCAACGGGGAGACGATCAAATTCCATCGAATTCATTAATAGCATGGTTTCTCAAATCCCAAGAGATCTGATCTTCCCTCAAGTGCCCTAGCCAATAAGAGGACCTGCAATGTTTACCACTGAGAATGTTATGTTCAATGGAAAAGCCATATATATGTATCACCAAGTAGCGGATTGCTACACTAGTAAAGCCTGACTAACTCAGA